ATGGCGTTATCGGGAGCGGGGGGAGGTGAAAATATCGTCGTGGGACTCCGATCGGAAGAACTCGCGAGTGCGTGCGGAGAAGCGAAGCGAGCCGCCGAGTTGCCGAAAAATTTGAAATTCCCAGGGAAGGGGGGGGGCGGTGGTAGGCGACGGGGTTTGTTGTATGACGCGTGCGGCCTGACACGTGCTAAATTTTGCATCGGCCGTCTTATCGGAGCGGCATATCTGAGCGAGAAATCCGTCCCTTTTTAGCGCCCCCGAACCCCCTCCGTCCTCGCGACGAGCCGCACGAAAGTCGCCCCCTCGCTGCGCGTCTCGGCGAGAGAGGCGACTTTCGGCCAGGGTGTGTTTACGAGTGCGACTTATCGAACGAGATTCGCGGGAACTCGACGAGCCACGCGACGAGCTCTGAGCGACCATTCCCTCTCGCAACGACTGCAATTTCAAGGGTGCCCCACTGCGGCCCACTCCTCCTCTCTCCCCCGCCTGGGTTAGATATTCGTTAAGATGAGGGAGGGAGGAATTGCATTCTCACGCAGAGAAGAAAGATTGGACGAATTAACAAAGCCGAATGCGCGAGGCTGGAAGAATTTCTGCTGCTGGGAATCGAATTTGCCTCACAAGCGCGCCACGACTCGCGAGCTTGGTGAACCATTTGAAGAAAAAAGAATCCGCTTCTTGGGGCGAAATTTCGCTCGCGAGCGCCTCGACTCGGGAATTTGCGGAATCGACGCGCCGGGAGCTAAACGCGTTTCGGTTAAAAAAAAAAAAAACACAATTTCCGCCCTTCGGAATCAAATTTGACCCATTTGACCGCTCCGATTCGCGAGCTCGCCGAATCAACGCGCCGGCGACCAGACGCGTTCTGGTTATAAAAAAAAAAACAGAAAAAAAGATAAATAAAACAGAATCAACGGAATTTCTGCTTCTTGGGATGAAATTTGCCTCGCAAGCGCCTAGATGAATCGGCCGAGGCAACTTGCGACGGGGAGCAAAGCCGCGTCTCTCTCGGTCCGAATTGCGACCCACAAAATTCCGGATCCACACGAGCGAAAATCGAAAGAAGACAAATCAAAATGGAGCGTTCATCGTGTCGCGGCGCGGCGGCGGTCCGGGCGATTCCTCTCGGCGACTCGCAGGTAAGCCGGCACGGAGGCCGGCGATGATTGTGCATTTGGACGGAACCGGCGACTGTCGAATTTCTCGGGGCACTTTAGCACTCGCTTTCGGCCCGAGGCAGGATCAACCAGCAGGATCGTAAAACGCGAAATCCGAGAGCGGGCCGAGCAGTCAGCGATTGCGTCGCGCAAGGATCGAGCCGGTGGTCGCCGACTCGGCCGCGCCGCGCCGCGCCGCCGTCGTCATTCGCTCTCGGCTAGAGCCGAGGCTGCGGCGCGATCGTCGGCGTTGTGTTTCTCGGTCACAAAGAGCACGATCACGAGAGTCCTCGGCCGACGACGCTCACCTTGACCAGCGAGCCTCGATCGGGCCGGTGCGTCGCCGCGCCGCGGCGCGAGTGACCGACTCGAAGGCGCGCCGTCCTACCTCCTGCGCGCTCCATATCCTCGCGACTTTCGCAGCTCCCGCGAGGCCGCGGCGCATCTCTCTTTGATTTCGATTCGGAGAGTGAGAGAGAGAGAGAGAGAGAGAGAGAGAGAGCGAATCTATCGGCTGAGAAGAAGCGATAAAACGTTCCCGTTCTCTCTCGGGCGGCCGGACGATTTCTGCAAGAGAAGTTTCAAGCGACGCTTAGTTTGGAAGATATTTGAAGTTGAATGTGAAACAGTCGCAGGGAGGGAGAGGAAGGGGGGGGGAGGCGAAGACGACAATCCGTATCGAACTCTCGCTAAGGAGAGACTGACTGCGAGCGATCGAGTCGCGGACGGAAGGATCCGCGACCGGAGAAAAGTGCGGGAAGTTTCGTCCGCGACTTCGCGGGAACGGCGGCGGGGGGAGGGGGTTACTTATCGCGGAATTATGCCGTCGCGAATCAATGGACGACGCGACGACGGCGATTGAATTATTCCTCCTTCCCCTCCCTCCTACCCGCTCGCGAACGCGAATCCCAAGGCAGAAGGAAAAAGAGACAAAGGCCGTCCGTCCACGAGGAGAGTTGCAAGAGAGACCTGATAATGCGCGCGAGCGACGCACGCGAAGGCAGGGGAGGGGAGGGGGAGGGCTTCGAAAATTCTTATCGCTCCGCACGTTTCGTCATTTGGCGCGTTCGGCGATAACGCGAGGACCGATTAGATGACCCAAACGACGCAGCAGATATTTTGCGCGATTACTTTGCGAATCGCCGCGTAACTTTCCCTCCGCCCCTTACCCTCCCACTCTTCTCTTTCGTTCTCTTTCTCTCTCTGTCTCTCTCTCTCTCTCTCCCTCTCTATCTGTCGTTGTCCGCGCGCCGACACAATTCGCGAGGAATTAACGAACCGCCGCTCCGACGGACCCAAACGGAGCAAGTCACATTTTCGACAAAACACAAAGCACGACAAAA